TCTGTACAAACTGTGAAGTCCACTGAGACAAATGTAACATTTGTGATATTGGGCTATATAAATAAACATTGATTGATTGATTGACTATTTCAAGGATGCTACGTCATCGAGTCCTGCCGAAGGACTGTTCCAATGTCCAGCATACTTGGAATTCTACCAAGGCCGGCGTCCTTCTTTGCGGGAAATTTCGAGGCTGCACATGTGTATCCTCCGCGGTCTTAAAATCCCCACAATGCTTTGCGCACGGACCAATTTCCAAATCTTTGGCGGGAAATCATGCTCCATTTAAGATGGGGCCTCTCATATGACGCACACCTGCCTGTTAGCCTGTTCCACCATTCTTCATTTTCCAAGGCTAGGAAGGATTCTTGCCTCGCTTCTGAAGGAAGTGACTCGGAAGACAAGTCCTACCAAAGGAAGCGTCCTCGACATTGAGAAACACCTAGTCACTGCATCTTCCAAGTTACCAGACCAGACCCCGCCCAGAGGGAGGGAGAAAAGAGGAGAGGAGTTTATACTGTAAGTGAAGTGAAGAGAAGCGTTAGGAGAGCTCTGGTTTGTGATAGCTGTGATCACGTTTGCAAATCTCTGTTTTATCACTCTTAATCAATCATTTTATATTTAATTTTTAAGTCATTCAAGCTGACAAAAAGACAGAGGTTTTTTATGATTTGTTCGTTGATCCTGATAAGGCCTCTTTTTCATCTGCTTTAGGACAGACAAATTAGTCTTACAATTAGGGTGCCTGTACTCCTTTTCAGAGGTGCCTTGAGATGAAATGTTCCCACAGGTTCATTAACTGTGTAATTAAATGCATCACTACATTTAACCTCTGTGCCAGACACATTAATGCATCAATAATCATCATCCAGTCATTTCATATACAAACTGAAACATAATGAAATGGGCCAGTCTTTTCTCTTGGTACTTTAAGAATATTTTGAGGCCAGAGTTGTTGCTTATGAATATTGAAACCGTTTTTTAATGATATGCCACACAACTTGTTTGATGATTTCAACACCTGAAACCACTCAGGTTTTGCTTATTGGAGAAGTGAAATGGTCAAAATCTATAATTTGATTTTAAGAAATAAAAGTCTATTCAATAGAAAGGTTTATCACAGGGAGGCTGCAGTTAGGCCATGTGCCTGGAGACGCATAAAGACAGACGAACCAAACCATCTGACCTGAACTGGGTTGTGAGCCCAGCCAGATCCTGACAACTAGTCGTCAATTAATCAGCAATAAGGTCAAATGTAGGAAAAGTGTCTCACAACTGATATTTCCCCATAATCTGTCATTTTCAGTATTTTGCCAACTCATTGTGTTACTTGCAATCTATATAGTCACCATCCATTATATTAATCTTTATTCACAGGTTTGTATCTTTAAAAGTGAATCAATCTTGGAATGTATAAAGATCCTGATTACGTGCTTTTGTTTCTTTCAAGTATTTGTACTTTTGTACTCTGAGTGAATACATTTAGAGAACGTAGTAATTGATCTTGTAAATGTTTGAACATTATGATAGGTCGTCTAGTCAAAGTCAACTTTCAGTTTTGATACTCAGTGTTGTTATATCTGATTGACAGTATAGCATGTTAAAACATTTGAGCTAACTATAGTGTTATATGTTAGAAATGTGAGAAAAAAAGCATAATATTGGTGTTGAGAATATCAGAAATAACGGTATTGTATACTGTACTTAGATAACATGTAAGCAAAGTACATATAGTGTGTTAAAAGAATTGAAAGAATTACTATTAGTATGTTGAATAAGTGAAAATAACGATAGAGCAGAAAACCCACTCGGATGGAGCCAGCTCTTTGGACGAGTACGAGAAGAGCAGAAGACAAAGGAAGATGAAGAAAAAGGTATGGAATGAGGAAATGAGAAAAACAGGCAAAGTACATTATGTTAAAAAATCTGGGAAATAGTATAGTAAGCCCTATGAGGAAAATAAGCCAAAATACGAAGTAGTATAGTATGTGGGAAATATACAAAATGCAACATAGTATTGTTATGTCGAAAATATGCCAAAAAACGACAGAGTATGGCAAAAATATGCAAATAACAACATAATATAGTATGGCGAATATGGACATAAAAAAACATGTTTGTTTGTTTTTGCATTTTTTCGACATGCTATACTATTACTTGTTTGTCATTTTGGCAACATTTAAATTATCCAAGATTCTGTCCAAGAACAAATCTAAGATCTCGTGCTAAGCAATCAAACGAACGGGGTCTCTGAAGCCAAACCGCAGGGGGCGCTAGCTGTCACCAGATAGCTGCTAGTTTAGACATGACAGCAACGCTTGTTTGTTTTTGACTTCTTTTCTTTTTGACGCAACATAGATGTCACTTTGACTCTCTTCGAATCACAACATTGAAAAATGAAAACTCAACCATGAACTACAATGAAAGTTATTCTGTGGTGAGTTTTCTATCACATTTATTCGCTCGCCTGCACAATGTTTACTAAAAAGTTGAAACGCATGTCCCCATGTTTCTCCTCACAGAGCCCCAGGCAGCCCACCCTGCCTCCGGTCTCCAACAGGACCCTGACCCACCCGTCTTTCATGCCTCTGTACCTGACTGCAGGACAGCACGCCGACTGTGCGAGCCTAACAGGTAAACTGATTTTTAAGTTACCCACATTAGTTTAAAGCAGGTGTGTCCGTGTCCAAACTACGGCCCGCGGACCATTTTGAATCGGCCCTCGCCAAATAAAAAAAGTATAATGAAATACGGCCAACAAATGAAACTTGTGCTCTTCTTATATTGTACTTCTTAAATATATATGTACAAATATTTACGCAGTATTATTCATGTGTTAAGACCACTTTTCAAATAAATTCAATCAATAAAAGTTGGAAACATTTTCTAACAAATCTTAGTTGATAAGAAAAAAGACCCAATCAATTATTTACCTAACAAGCTTGAAATATACCCTTCATATGTCACCTTATTATAAGCAATCTGAGGCTTTTGTTGTAAGGAATGGGCTTCCAACAGAATAAAGTAAACCCTATGGAGAGCTGTGATGTAGGCTGTTTTTGTCTTAAGGCATTTACAAGCATCATTTACCTACATTTGATTGATTTTGCTAACTTATAACTGAACTTATGAGGCAATAAACTTCACCTCTAGTGAGCGGCCCAGACCTTCGTATATTTGTCTGTATGTGGCCCTCGGTGAAAAAAGTTTGGACACCCCTTAAAGCTTTATTAAACCTCCGATTTAAGTGGCTGCTGTTACAGTTGATAACAAATAAAGTTTTGAGATTACTCACCACTTGTGGAAGGCTGGGTTAGTAATGCAACAACTACAATTTCTTAATTAAGTATTAAGTTAAATTAAAATGTGTAAATAATCTTATTTGAAAATGTCTTGATGAACAACTGGAATATGAAACTAAAGCTTTTCATTTCAAGATATGCAATAATTAACCTTTTGCTCATGCACTGTAATGCTAATCAGACAGACATGCAAATGAATGTTCCTTAACATGCAGAAGTAAGAAATGATGATCAGTCATTTGTAATACTCTCAATATTTTTATAAGATATTTAATATGCTATAAATGACGTAGGATTCTTGTTTCCATGCCCTTATCATAAATAAATGATAATAATGAGCCTTTATTAGATTAGATTGGTTAAAGGAGTTTCTGTTACTAGATCATGTTGTAAAACTGACAACTCCATCTTCTTCCAGTCCTTCCCCTCGGCCCAGCAGAGTGTTTCTACTCTGATCCCACCCTGGCCTGTGCAAGGATCCCCAACGTAGTAAGTGATTTGAGGGTAAGTGGACTTCATAAACCCATAGCCATGGACATCCACAATATCCGTAGAATGAAGTCCCTGGAAGACATGAACACTGACTTAAGTTGAATGTCTTAAATATAGAAAAAAAATTGTTTTGACATATTGGATGTTTGTCGTTGTATCAATGTTTTAGAATCTATCAATATAAATTGGGCCTTTGTCAAGACTGTTGAGTTCAAAGCATTTTCAAGACTTTTTTCAGATGTATTAGATTAAAACTGGCCATTAACAATTAGGCAAAGTGAGCCCTCAACCATTCATCCTCAAAGTAGTCAACTTGCATAATACTGAACATTTATTAAATGAATATGTGGGGATATTTCTGGTACATGTATATTGAATTGGCACAGGGTGTCTCTGGACTGGCGTACTGAACTGCAAAACAAACGTTTTGATCAATATAACCCTGGATTGTGAGAATGTATTGAACACTGGTTGAGGTCCTGTCCTCTGTGTTGTGTATGTATTGTTTGTTGTAGAGAGCAGAGCTTATGGAGGGGATCAGGTAGATGATGACTTTTAATAAAATAGGCTCAGTCCTGTTAGGTGGAGCTAAGACCAGGAGGCAGGATGGAAGGAGGCAGTTTGTTTTGACTGTAAAGACATTATCAGTAGGGATGTCCCGATCACCTTTTTTTGCTCCCGATCCGATGATTTTGACAATTTGCCAATACCGATTTTTCCCGATCCGATCTTTATGCAATGCATTAAGAGAAAAAAGGTTTTTTTTATTTTTATTTAAATTGGATATTCTATCCAACATGGATATAGCTTCTTTTTTTCACAACAGCATTGGATCAGTTCAGTTGTGCAGCATTGGATCAAAACAAAATAAAGCTTATCATTACTCGTTACCCCCTTGGTCTCTTCCCAGCTGGACGTGCCTGGAACACCTCCCTAGGGAGGCGCCCAGGTGGCATCCTAACTAGGTGCCCGAACCACCTCAACTGGCTCCTTTCGACGCGAAGGAGGA